ACCCGGCACTTGGCCTTGTTGAACCTCATCCAGTTGGCCTGAATATGAGGCCATGAATATGGCCTCATACATGTAGGTATGAGATATGGCCTGGGAGCCCTGCAGCACACGCAGGGGAGCAAGGTCAGCAGAGGGACACAGAGGGGGCTTTGCTTTCGGGCTCAACTAATCCGAGTCTTCTGGATGTTGGTCACTGAGGCAGCTGTGTGTTAAACACAGACTCTGAGGGGTGCTCTCCATAGTCAGAAAAACAAATGAAGACCTAATTATGGGAAATGCTATAATTTAGGCATTCTGAGAAAAGGAGAGATCCAGTTGTTTCAGATGCATTTAGGGCTGGAGTGGAATGATTTTTTTTTTTTTTCCTGTATTTTTCAGGCTAAAGAAGATGATTTTGAGAAATTTGACTGTGTTGCTTTTATAAATGCTGCTGAGAACCTGCTGACGCTAGGTAAGGGATTACATTACCAAAAAATAGATGCCACTTTTCAACCTGGGGAAGCTTATGCTTGTCTGAACACAGGTCTAGAGCTTTACAAAGAAGTTTAAGATACACATGCAGCACTTCAATGCAGAATTGCTTCCTTCCTGCTACTGAACTGAAATCCTTGTGCTAATTCCCTTTATTGTAACAATCATTGTATGCCGCCATGGTGGTATCCTTTTCATTATATACCACAATATTTCATTGTGGTATCCTCAAACAAAGCTCTTTACAAAGAAAATCCCCATTTAATACATAGAAGCGTGGAATAATGAAATGACTTGTCCCAAAGGCTCAGAAGGTTACTGGTAGAGCTGGGAGGTGAATCCAAATCCAGTGTCGTGGGCTCAGTTAATTTGAAGAAGAAGAAAAAAGAAAATCTGTTTATAACTGGTAGAACATATAAGCTAAATGTGCCATCAGTGGCTTCAAGTAATAATCCAGTTTGGGGTGGGAGCAAATGCATGAAAGCAAACCAGACATCTAAGGAGTAGGCTGGTAGGGCATCATGTATTGTGCAGACAACCATCTAACTCAGCTGGCATTTTCTTTCAAACATGCCCACTGATAATACTAGTGCTCTCCTTCTTGCTGGTTTTGGTCCATTCCAGACCCAGGTGAGACATGGCTTGTTCTGTTATTACTGTTCCTCACTCGCTGGCGCGTTTCCTTTTCCACCCTTGCAGAGCCATTTCGGAAGTTTCCAGGACTGCGGGAACTGGAACTTTCCTTGAACAGACTAAGAAATCTGAAAATCACCGCTAGAGAATTCCTGCATTTGGAAGTAAGATGAGGGGGATCTGAGACCTTATTCCTCAGCACAAGGAGGACACGGAGCTGTTGGAGCGGGGCCAGAGGAGGCCACCAAAATGATCCGAGGGCTGGAGCCCCTCTGCTCCGAGGCCAGGCTGGGGGAGTTGGGGTTGTTCAGCCTGGAGAGGAGAAGGCTGCGGGGAGACCTTAGTGCGGCCTTGCAGTGCTGAAAGGGGGCCTGTAGGAAGGATGGGGACAATCTTTTTAGTAAGGCCTGTTGTGACAGGACAAGGAGTAATGGCTTTAAACTAAAGAAGAATAGATTTAGACTGGATATAAGGAAGAAATTTTTTACAGTGAGGGTGGTGAAGCACTGGCACAGGTTGCCCAGAGAGGCAGTGGAGGCCCCATCCCTGGAAACATCCCAGGCCAGGTTGGACGGGGCTCTGAGTACCCTGATCTGGTTAAAGCTGTCCCTGCTCACTGCAGGGGTTGGGCTGGATGACCTCTAAAGGTCCCTTCCAACCCAAAGCATTCTATGATTCGATGATTCTATGGTTCATCTCCTCCCAACTGTCACGCTGAAGCCTACACGTAGCGTTGACGTCTGTCCCTGCAGTGTGAGTTCTCTGAAACTGCAGGGTCATTCTCTCTTCCTGCTTCCTTGTTGCTCTGGGTTGTCCTTTCTGCTGTGTCCCTCAAGGCCTTTCACATCTTGCTTCCTCCCGCAGAGCAATTCCTCACAGATCCCCATTGCTCAGCCCCTTGCCACAGGACTCCTTGTTTCCCCTGTGATGGGCCACCCACTTTGCTGTAGGATCCTCTCCCTGCAGCCTGTCAGTCACCCGTGGAATCCTTCATCTCCCTGATGCTGTGTGGTCCCCGGCAGATCCCCATCCTCCTCCACACTGTGCTCCACCTCTCTGTGTCCCACCCTCCTCCTCTCCACATAGGTGTCTGCAGTTTCCCCAACTCACGGGATGCCTTTCTAACACAGTGAAGGGATCAGGTTGTTTTTTCTTTAAAAAAGAGACAAAGTGGATCCTGAGAACAAGCAACTGTGGGATGATGGCTCTAATCATCCTCGCCATCCAGCTTGGAGTGGGTCTCTGCTACAGAGAGCTCAGGCTCTGGCTTAGCTCTACTGACCTTATCTAGGTTTGCTTGCTTTGACAGGTGTCCTTGCCTGGATTTTTCTCTCTCACTCTACACACGATTTCTGATTGCTGCTGGAGATAAAGTTTTATCTTAAAAGGCTTCTTTCTTCTTGTCTCATTCAAAGAATTGTTGGTGGCTCATCTCTCAGCTCTGTATGCTTGGATCCTGGCCTCCCTCCTGCCGGCAGGCTTTGGAAGGCCCCCAAATCCATGAAGCTCTCCGATGTTTCTCCCATGCGCTGTTGGTAACCCGCTCAGGGTTTGACACTGTGGGCATGTGCCCAGCTGATGGGGAACCAAATAAGGTCTAAGGCTCTTGAGGCCAGGGTTGATCCTGTGCATCCCTGTGTGCCTCTGTGTGAGCAGCCCTGTCACTGGCATCGGCTACGAAAGGTGGGGATGGGACCCAGCTAAACTCCCCTTCCTGCCATGCCCCTGTGGATCCCAGCTTCATCTATGACCAACGTCCAGGATCTTGTTTGCTGACAGCCTGGAGAAAACAGCCCTGGGAAGGCTGATTGGAAATTCATATTAAATTGATTTGAAAAGTGCTTTGAGCTCCTCCTGAAGAAATGCGGCCTATTGTAATGCTCCAGCAAAGCTATTCCTGTTCACGTATCCTAGAAACCCTTGTCCTTGCTCCCAGCAGGGTCTGCTCCCTGGCTTTCTGCTGGCTGTTGTCCCGTGAGTCACACGTGTCCCACCACTGTAAGTGAAGTCCCTGCAAGTGAGAGACAGCATCACTCTAGGGCGTATGGTAGCATGATGGAAAGTCTCCTGTAAATATTTAATATCTACCTGGGGAAAGCCAACAGTGATTGTTCTTTGCTCCAGGGGATTGTTTCTTCTGTTTCCTTCAGGATCTGGATCTCTCCTACAATAACTTGTCGCCCCAGGACATTTGGACATTGGGAGACTTGTCCCAGCTCAAAATCCTTCGCTTGACAGCCAACGGGCTTCGTTCTCTGCCTCCGGACCTGGCAGGCTCGTGGGAGTAAGCGCACACAGCAAGGGATGTTTTGGTTTGGTGGGGAGCTGCTGGCGTGCCGGTGGGACGCGCCGCGCAGGCAGGCAGGGCGATGGCAAGGCAGTGGTGAGCGGTGAGGGTGGGCAGCCTGGGATTTATCAGTCCGGGCAGCAGAGCTGGACTTCCCTTGCAAACTGGAAGATCAAATAACCTACTGGGCGGTGCTGGGTGGCAGGGAAGTGTTATCCCAGCTCAGCCCCAGATGACCCAGGGTATCTGCTGTCACCAGCAGCTAGAGAGGAACCTCTGGGCAGTGATTCAGCAGCCCTGTCGGGTGGCCGAGCCACGTGAGTAAGATGCTATTTATTCGTTGTTAATTAGACCCTTCACGTATAGCTTAGCCACAGTTGCCATGCCAAGGTATCCACTGTTTGCCGTTGTTGAGATAAGACGCTGAGCTAGATGGTCATTCGAACTGATTCAATTTAGCTGCTTTGAGGCAGGATATCAGTTTTCTGTTAAATGAATGAAAACAGCCCCAGTCCAGTCTCCCGGTGGGCACATCTTCCCGTGGTGACAGCAAATGATGTGTTTTTCACTTGTCTTTCCTTAAGCATGTTATTAATGAGCCTCTTTGTATCTGTAGCTCTGCTCATTTAAGGTTTCCATCTCTGGAGGTCTTGTTGCTGGATGACAATCGTCTGTCAGACCCGAGCGTCTTTGTGAGCCTGTCTCATCTCTGCAGGTAAGGAAGCACCTGGCAGCAGACAGCTCTGACTTTTGGGGGCTGGCAGCTGCCTCCATCAGCTGTTGCACAGTAGCAGGCTGAAAATGAAAACCCAAATCTTTGCGATTCACTCGGATACTTCCCTGTTTAGTCTCTTTAGTATTGCAAATGGGACTGAACGGAAGCAAACAGCCTGCTGCAAAGCACAAGCTGGCCAAACCCGGCAGGTGGCTGGTAATTCAGCTCCCGCCCTGGGTGTTTGCTGAGCTCCAAGTCTGATTTGAGAAATGGCAGTCGCTTTCTCCATTTTCCCTTCTTCGCCCCAGATTCATCATTATTTCAGCGCAGCAGCACTAGGAAAGGCTGCGGATCAGCTCCCTCTGTTTAATGTGGGCTTTCATGATTCAGCTAGAGAGGAGTCACTAGGAAGGGGAGCAGCTCACATGCCCCTCAGCTGGGCTGTGCTGGGTTTGGGGACAGCGCAGAGACCTTCTGATGTTCCCCTGGTGCTTCCAGTGCTTTGAACTGGAGGTGGGAATTAGGTCTGGCTTGCTGCCCCGGCTCTGCCAAGACGTTCCCGAAGGAAACTGCACATTGTCCGCAGTGTTCGTGAGAGGAGCGGGAGCGGGTGAGGTTTAGGCACAAGACTGCAGGTCTGGAGTGCAGAAGTTTGGGTTTCTGCTCTTGCCTAAGCTGTCTTGTGGCCTTGGGCAAGAACATTGGTGATGTTATACTTCCACAGGAAGGTGGAACATTGTTAGGGAATCCCAGTAGGAATGCAGCTCATTGGAGCCCGGGGTGATTTAATGAACTGCCAGGATGTCTCCTTGTCCATTAAATTCTCATCAAAAGGTGAACTTAGAGCTAGGTGACCCTTGGGCTGGTGTGGGGGACCAAAGTCATGGGCTTCAGGGGCAACGCCGGGCTGTGCCAAGAACTCAGCCTGTGGTTGGGGTTTGGAGGGGAGGGGGAACAGCACAGAGAGATGCGGCTGTCACGGATGCCTCCGCACTGGTGCTGGGAAGCTCAGTGAGGAGGCAGATCCGAGGTCCAGCTCCCTACCCTGTGGGCACCGGGGCAAACAGATGGCCGGGTGCATATGGGCAATTATGGAGTTTCTCATGCATTGCCGCTTCCGATAGCCTGAGGGAGCTGAATCTGGACAGGAACAGGATTTCGGCTGTCCCCTACCTGCACCAAGCAGAGAGCAGGCAGTTCTTCCTCCACCCCGCGCTGGACGGTGACAGCTTCAGGGCAGAGTGGTACAAGTCCCTGAGCAGCCTCTGGCAGCAGCCCCGGCTGCCGCAGCAGGAGGATGTGGAGGTGCCAGCAGAGCTGGAAGCGAAGAAAGGACAGCTTGAATATGTCATGTTACAGAACGATGGGGATCTGGACAGGACGGGTGAGCAGCGCCTGCCTCTCCCTGCCCACACTGAAACTGTGGGGTATTTCAGTGGGAGAGGGTTCAGTTATGTCAGGGTGAGGATCTGCTGGATGTTTACTAGCGAGTGAAGCAGCTTGACAAAATTAAAACGGTGAGGGAGGGATATGTGGCACCATGCCAACAGCATCCTGGCTTGTGTCAGGAATAGCGTGGTCAGGAGGAGCAGGGCAGCGATCGTCCCCCTGTACTCGGCACTGGGGAGGCCGCACCTGGAATGCTGTGTCCAGTTTTGGGCCCCTCACTACAGGAAGGACATTGGGGTGCTGGAGCGTGGCCAGAGAAGGGCAACGAAGCTGGGGAAGGTTCTGGAGCACAGGGCTGATGGGGAACGGCTGAGGGAGCTGGGGGTGTTCAGCCTGGAGAAGAGGAGGCTGAGGGGAGACCTGATCGCTCTCTACAGCTGCCTGGCAGGAGGGGGCAGGGAGGGGGTATTGAGCTCTGCTCCCACGTAGTTAGTTCTCCCAAGTAACAAGCGATAGGACAAGAGGAAATGGCCTCAAGCTGCATCAGGGGAGGTTTAGATTGGATATTGGGAGAAATTTCTTCCCAGAAAGAGTGGTCAAGCCTTGGACCAGGCTGCCCAGAGAGGTGGTGGAGTCCCCATCCCTGGAGGGGTTCAAAAAACGGGCAGAGGTGGCACTTTGGGACATGGTTTAGTGGGCATGAGGGTGTTGGGTTGATGGTTGGACTGATGATCTTCGAGGTCATAGAATCATAGAATCGTTTAGGTTGGAAAAGACCTTTAAGATCATCCAGTCCAACCATTAACCTACACTACCAAGTCTACTCTAAGCCAATCAAGGGTAGACTAGACTAAACCATGTCCTGACTAGACTAAACCAGGTCCTTTCCAACCTTAGTGATTCCTAGTTTTACTTTAATTAAAAAATAATCCAGCCACCAAGGCAGGAAGCATGGAGTTAATGATTACTCTCCCCTTAACAGGTTTAGTGGTGGCCTTGGTAGTGTTAGGTTAATGGTTGGACTGGATGATCTTTTCCAACCTAAACGATTCTATGATCCTATGATTTTAGACTTCTCAGCTAACCTGTACGGTCACTCTATAATTACTAGGAACTTACTGGACATGAATGACCCTAAAGCAGACATCTCCCATGGTTCAGAGAGAAGTGCCCCTTTCTTTCTCCTGGACTTCTCCAGGGTATCTTGCTCCAAAGGAGACATTGCGTGCTGGCTGGGAGGAAAACTGGCAAAAACAGGGAAAAAATTCCAGTTGGGAAGTGGATTACTGTGGATCCTGGCCAGGCAGAGGGCAGGAAGGTTGTGTGAGCAGGTAGCCCATGCAAAGGACTGCATTCCTGGGGTAGGTCAGCTCTCCCCTCTGGATGTCCTTACTGAAGTGCGATGCACACACCGTGCTGGACCACGCGATGGGATGGATCCAGAGGCTGCCTGGCGTCACCTGTGTGGATCGGGCTGTGATGGAGGCTGCCCGTGGGGCTCCTCCAAGCACTTCTCCTGTCCCCTGGCTTGCTGCAGCAGTCCCTGTTGTTAGGTATTTGTGGAGCAGGCAAAGGTGCAACTTCTGGTGCTGGCCTGGCGGTAGCAGTATGGCGTGGGAAAGGCCTCGTGCTCATGGGTGAGACTCCACACCAAAATCTTCCTGCGGGGACCTCCTGGCTGGGTTTCGGCTGTGTTTGAGAGATGTGGACCTCACCTATCAGCAAGCCTGCTACAGTGGGCCTGATCCGCCCCTCACCCTGGGCACATCTTGCCTTTGAGCCAGACCCTGCCTGATGCTGATTTGCTTTTCCAGGGTAATTCCAGCCTAGCTGTGGCTGGGGCTGGCCCAGCGCTCAGCTTCACAGAGAAACCCTCACTTTCCTTGTGTTTTGTTGCAGAAGCTGTTTTTAATTCTGGCTCTCAGGAACACCCAGGCCCGGTAAGAACCATTGGCTGATCTGTGATTTGGGGTGTGAGCTTCAAAACTTCCCTTCCCCAAGCCTCTCAGCCTAGTTTCAATAAGCCCGTGACTACAGCCGGGACTCTGGGTGCCTACAAGACTTGCAGTGAGTATCATCTCTCATCAGGGAGATCAGGAGCAAATTTTCCCATAATCAAGGGACACCAGAGCTTAAACTTATATCACTTTCAAATAAAAGCTGGGTTGCTTGTTTGCTCGTGACTGTGTGCCCTCCCTGCACGGGGAAATGTGTTCTGTGGCTCAGGTCGGGGCTGAAGCTCAGGAGCTGGGAGTTCATTCACTCTTAGCACTGTAATCTTTTCCCCCACATTTATTGACATGATGCTCTTCAGAATCAGATGTTTGAAGCCAAAGACCCTGATTTTTATTAGAACTTGAATAAGGGGCTGAGCTTCAGAGATGCCAAACACTCGCAGCGTATTCTAGCCTAACACACAGATGCATGCACACGCACACTCCCCAAGAGCACAGCTGCTTTCCCCCGGGCCCGTGCACATTTTCAGTGCTGGATGATGGAGTTCGGTGCATTTGACGTGACTCCCTGGAGGGGTCCCACAGTAATGCAGAGGCCAAAGCAAGGTGCTACGAGACAACCTCCGAAACGGGTCTGAACTGAAAAATCTTCAAATTATAGCTGTGTTAGGGCTCAGGAGGGTGGTATCCTGCCACTGGAGGTGTCTCCTGCAACTGGAGCCTCTGGTGTGGTGTTTCTGCTCACACTCTTCCTCCTTTCTTTAAGGTTGTTCCCAGGGAGGAGGGAGAACCATCTGCCTTGAGGACTCTGCTGGCTCCCTCCATGCCCAGGGACGTTTGTGCTGCCTTTCCTGAACTGAAGCGTCTCAGCCTGGCCTTCAACAAGGTGATTTGGGTCCTGTGGCTCCGGATAAGCGTAAAGATTCGGCTGCTTGAGCCTGGCCTTAGATCCCTGGGAGACACCCTTGGCCTTTAGCTGCCACTGCAGAAGGGCACAGCTCTCCCCGGCTCCTGTGTCCATCTGCCAGCCCACGGAGATGTGCCAGATATCCAGGATCTCTCAGGTGGGACAGGATGCCTATTTAGGCAGCTGAATTGCACTCAGCTTGTCTAAACCCCTGCAAATTTGGGGATTTCATCAGAGAATATATGAAGGATTGCCGTCCCCCTGGTCTGATCCTTTGATGGAGCTGCCCGGTGGATGGTGATGTCTCACCGAGGACTTTGCTGGTTTAGCGCCAGGTTATACCTGTCCTCTGAGCCACATTGGGTTCTCAGTGTGCCCCAACGGACAAGTAACACACCACAACATTTAAGCTCCTCTTCCTGGTGTTTTTGGCTCCTGCCCAGGTTGTGGTTTGGACTGCAGGGTGGAGAGGCAGGACTTTTTTCCTGCTCAGAAGAGGAAGGAGCAGGAAAAAAGTCCTGCCTCTCTACCTTGCAGCTCTTCTGAGCGTTGGAGGCACCAGTCCTCTGGCTGCAGCAGGCAGCGGGGAGAGAGGAGCGCTACCTCTGCCCTCAATACTTGCAGGCAGCAGAATTCCTGGGCATCGCTGGTTAAGGGATCTCTCAACCATCTCCCTCCTCCTCCTCCCCACTGCACGCACCTGCCCAGTGCCAGGGTCGCCATGAGTTGCAAGGATGCGCTTTGCTGGGAGGGTTGGGATAAAACTCTATAGCCTCCGTCATGACTTGGTGCTTAGAGCAAACAGTAAACTATTTTATCTTGCAGATTGCAGATGAGATGGCTCTCTTACCCGTGGCTTTCTTCCCGTGCCTGAAGGAGCTGACGTTTCACAACAACCCTCTTACCACCACCCGGAGCGGTACAGTATGAGCCTGGCTCTGTGGGGGGACTCCTGCTTTGTCTCTCCTTCACGGTTAGCTCTCTGGGACAGGGACCACGTTGCCTTTTGGTGTGACATGACACTCCTGCCATGCTGGCCCTGGCCCCGGCCCCCAAGAAGGTGCTCTCTAAAGAGCAATGCAGATGCACACTGCTCTTGCAAACGCTGTTAATGCCGTGCTGCCATTCCTGGCCCCATCAAAGTCAGTAACAGCCCATCCGTGACTGCAGCAGTGCAGGCTCAGGCTAAATTTTGCTCCCCAAATGGTGTTTACCCCACAAAGGGCTTGTCTGAAGCTGGTCCAGGTTTCCTCCTGTAGCAGCTTTTTGGGCAGGGGGGATAAACCCCAAACATGCCTGTGGCCTTGATAGAATCACAGAATCATCGAATCGTTTAGGTTGGAAAAGACCTTGAAGATCATCCAGTCCAACCAGTAACCTACACTACCAAGGCCACCACTAAACCAATTAAGGGGAGAGTCATAATTCCATGTTTCCTGGCTTGGTGGCTGGATTATTTTTTAATGACAGTAAAAACTAGGAATCACTAAGGTTGGAAAGGACCTCTAAGATCATCAGTCCACCATCAACCCAACACCCTCATGCCCAATAAACCATGTCCCAAAGTGCCACGTCTGCCCGTTTTTTGAACCCCTCCAGGGATGGGGACTCCACCACCTCTCTGGGCAGCCTGGTCCAATACTTGACCACTCTTTCTGTGAAGAAATTTCTCCCAATATCCAATCTAAACCTCCCCTGATGCAGCTTGAGGCCATTTCCTCTTGTCCTATCGCTTGTTACTTGGGAGAAGAGACCAACACCCCCCTCCCTGCCCCCTCCTGTCAGGAGCTGCAGAGCGGTAAGGTCTCCCCTCAGCCTCCTCTTCTCCAGGCTGAACACCCCCAGCTCCCTCAGCCGTTCCCCATCAGCCCTGTGCTCCAGACCCTTCCCCAGCTCCATTGCCCTTCTCTGGACACGCTCCAGCACCCCAATGTCCTTCTTCCACTGAGGGGCCCAAAACTGGACATGGTATTCGAGGTGCAGCCTCCCCAGTGCCGAGTACAGGGGGACAATCCCTGCCCTGCTCCTGCTGCCCACACTATTCCTGATAGAAAAGGCAACGTTTAAAGGTAGCCAGAAGGACAGTGATGAAACATTGCAATGGTGGTGTTCCCTGCACAAGCTATGTGTAGACTGGTAAATAAAACCGGTCAGGACTGCTCCTCTGGCCTTGGTGGCATGTAGCCCAGTCTGGTGTGTGTCCTTAGGGCTAAAGCATCTCCCTACAAAACAGGGTGGCTTCTTATTCTCGTCCCTGGCCAGTGCCGTGCTCTGAGCTGAGCCTGGGCTTAGCTGGCATGGTGCGTTGCCAAGTGAAGGAGCAGGGCATGGGCTCTCCACCAGCTGCCTGCAGCTCGGCGTAACCTCTGCTCTTCCAGGGCAGCCACCTCTGCTGACCCGGCTCCTCCAGCACAATCTGGGGATTAAACTTGTCCGACAGAAGAGCCCAGCCGTGGAGAGGTGGCACTTCTCCATCCCTCTCAAAGCCAGCCGCAAGGTAAGGAGAGACACGCCTCAGGAGCGTGGGGTTTTTCCTGCCTAAGGCGGGGACAAAACCCTTGCTGCAATACTCAGGGCAGGATTGCCCAGGAACCGACTTGCTGGGAAGCATGGGAAGAGCTGGTGGGACACACGGATCCCAGCGGGGTTGGAAGAATGGAGGGAAGGGTGGGAAGTATTGGAGGTATTTTGCTCGGGGTGAGGCTGGGGAGTCCAACCACCCCCTTACTGCTGCCCCAGGCAGGGTTTGTCACTGGGTTCTTGGGTTCGGTCCTGCCCATTGGCCTTGGCTGAGGGATCCTAGGTTAGATAGGTTTGGATTGGGTATTAGGAAAAATTTCTTTACTGAAAGAGTGGTCAGGCATTGGAACAGACTGCCCAGAGAGGTGGGGGAGTCCCCATCCATGGAAGTGTTCAAAAAACAGGTAGATGTGGCACTGTGGGACATGGTTTAGTGGGCACGGTGGTGTTGGGTTGATGGTTGGACTGATGATCTTAGAGGTCCTTTCCAACCTTAATGACTCCTAGTTTTTACTGTCATCAAAAAATAATCCAGCCACCAAGGCAGGAAACATGAAATTGCTACTCTCCCCTTAACTGGTTTAGTGGTGGACTTGGTAGTGTTAGGTTAGTGGTTGGACTGGATGATCTTAAAGGTCTTTTCCAACCTAAACGATTCTATGATTCCATGATCGTATGGGACTGAAGCCACTGCCAGCGTGTCCCTGGATACAGGGCTGCCCTGGCACTCCCTGTCCCATAAGGATCAGCCTCCAGCTGCCAGACCCAACCCCACGCTGACACTCGTGGCAGTGTGCATGGATGTCTGTTGTGTCCCCCCAGGTCACGTCACATCTCCCCAAAGTCACGAAGCGGCCACTGATGCTGGAAGCTTCTGTCAAGACCTTTCTGTGGAAACAGCTCCCAGCTGCGGTGGAGGCTGCGAGAGACGCTGCAGCTCCAAGTCCGGCCCAGCCGCTGCCCCCCCTGCCTCAGCCCTCGCTGCTCTCCAGCCCAGGACAGCGGATGCACACAGAGGCCTGTGGCCATCCCAGAGCACACACGTACCTTGGAAGGTGACCCCAGGCCTTCTCCTGGCTCAGCTGAGGAGGACGTTGCACCCTTCTTCATGACACAGGTAAGGCTGGGCTTTAAGTGTTCAGGACTGCAGGGCTTGTCCAGAAATGGTCCATAGATGGATCTTCATTTCCTAAGTGAATGAACTTTGTGCACGTGCTGTGGGTACCAGTGGTTATAACCCTCCTTTGATTGCAAGGGATTTAAGGAAGCAAGCACTAGAAAGAAGCATAAATGCAATGTTGTGACCAAGAACAAGAATTGGTGGCCTATTTCACAGGGTGACGTGGGGCTGTGCTGGCTTGTTGGGTAGCCCCAACTGCAGGAACTCATCAGTCCAGCATCGTCCCTGCAGCATCTGCTGGAAAACTCCCTCCTAGAGCTCACCAGGGCAGCTGTTTTTACTGAATTTCCCTAAAAATCTTGGGATTATCAGGGAAAAAAAAAAAGTCTTCACTGGGATGGGGATGGCCCCTCTCTCTTCTGTGCCCGGTCCCGCTGAGCAGAGATGGGATGAGGTGGTGGCTGCGTGGCTCAGTGCCACCGGGAGAGACCTCTGGCTACAGCAGAACAGGCTCTGGCTGACTCCATCACCTTGACTGGTAAGAAAGGGCCTCTGTAAATTCCTTTATTTTGCTGCTTTGAGGTGGAGGATGTGTCCAGACCCCTGCTGAGACCCGTGGCAGAGGGCAGGCTGGAGAAAAGGAGCGAGCAGAGTCAGGATGGAAGCTCCCAGGTGGTTCCAGAGCAATACAAAGGCTACGAGGAGCTGCTCAGTGGAGACACGGACCCAGATTTTGCTGAGCCAGTCGGTGAGTGAGGATGGCAGAAGGCTTTTGCTCAGAAAAGCCTTGGCAGGTTGATAACCAGTATTGTCCACTGACCAAGATGAAGCAGCAAAGGCTTTTGTTCCATTTTCCCCCTGGTTCACAGGGATACAGAAGAATGTGCAGGCGCTGTACTACATCCTGAAACACCCCCTGGTTTACCAAGACACAAAGCCACGACTGGACAGCGTACAGAAGCCCTACGTGCCTCAGAAAAAGGTAAAGAGCCGAAGCTCTGAAGGGAGAATGGTTGCGTCTGCATCTGGATCAACCCACATGTCTGGATGGATGCTGAGAGCCTGAGCGTGGGCTTGGCCCCGGTTCCCAATCCTGGTGCCTCCCTGTTCTCTCTCCCTCGTGGCGTGGTGCATGCAGCCCCCATGGGAACTGACCTGCAGGGATGGGGCAGCTCAGCACACCAGGGCTGGTAAACAGCCAAGAGCTGTGCTAGCCCCCTGGGCAGCGCGGGGGGAAGCGCTTGTCACCAACGCCCTGGAGAAAGCCAGCCCCATCCCAGGGGAGGTGGAGGAAATGGCCTCTGAGCTGGGTCTGCAGAGTGGGTTGTAGCAGAACTACGGTCCCTGAATCCACTGCGCTGCTCAGGGGTTGCGGAAAGCTGATCCATTGTTACTCAATAATTTTAAGTTGGTGTCTAAACTGGACCAGCTTTGTCCAAATAAAAAAAAAAAAAAGAGACCGTCTCACCTACCTCATGCAGAAGCACGGGCCCATGTTAGTTTAGGAGAGAGGGCAGGAAAGGGAGGTGGAGGATCATCAGCCTGGAGGGGAGGCACGCTGCAGCCTCCTGCTCTTCCTTGCAGCATGGGAGGATGCCTGGCCCTCCTGCCCGAAAGACAAGAGCGGAAGTCCTGGAAGGAATCCTGATGGCCATGAGAAACACCTCGACCATCACCGAAATCCCCTTGGGTACGTTCCTGCATTCCCAGTCTCTTCTGTTGACGGCGCCGTGGAGGCAGGGGCAGGATCTGAACACAAAGGTGTCCCAGAGCTGGCAGGGTCCTGGGGTGTGGCCGAGTTGGGAATGGAGGGTCCCTG